GCCCCTGGGTCGGCCAGGGCTGCTGCTGCCCGTGCGCCATGTGGCTCCTGAGCCGGCGCGGATGGGATCCGCTCGCCTTTCGGTCCGGAGAAACGGGTTCTTCGCAGCACTTCCCCTTTCAGACAGGTTTGCTCGGTGTCGCCAGACAGGATCCTTTTACCTTACCTTAGCCTTTCCTTTTCTTTTTATTATGATCATTGCAAACATCGGCTGGGGTCTGTAAAGGGGGGGGGGAAGAGAAAAGATCAGTGGCTAAGAAACCTGCTAATTATACCCGCGTTTCTATAATTGGGATTTTTTTTACAAAATTAATGATCCGCAGCATAGGTGCTGGAACTAGGACTATTGGGGGTGCTGCAGCACCCCCGAGATTAAAGTGATTTCCATCATATACAGGATTTACAGTTTGGTTCAGTGGCTCTCAGTACCCCTGCACAGCCTTTAGAGCCTTAGCTGTGTGCAACCCACTGCTGCTTGTGCATGGGTAGCTGGCTGGGCTTGAGTTTGAAGGTTTTGCTTTGGAGATTTAAGTGTGTTCTCTATCAGTAAGGTAATGAGGGGATTGTGCCTTAATAGCCACGTAATATTTCTTAGTCTAAAATGACCTCTTAGGCTTAAAGATTGGTGAATAGATGTGTAAGATACTTGATCCATAATCTTCTTGCTCTAAAGTGCTAGGTGTGACTGCAGCGGTATAGCATTCCTCCCTCTGGGTAAGGAGCACAACATCACTCATGCATTGCATTTGGAGCTTGCAGCAGTAAATGATAGCCTTAGAGAAAAAAAAGGAACCAGAAGGACACTAATGAGTGAGATTTTGCTCTCTGTTAGTCATATGTTGTTCCCCTGCAGTCCTTGGGTCTGATGTTCAGGCTGGAATCAGACCCAGTCTCATTCTTTATTTTAAACACCACTCAGAGCATCTCCTGCCCAAACTGAGAATCTCCAAATTCATTGTGGTGCATCATATCACTTTCCGTTCAGTTTATTATATTTAAAACAGTCTTTTTAGCTTAGTGACTTTGGGCATGCAGATGTGACCGGGAAGACTGAGCGCTTTAGCCTGTATCTCCATGTTTTACAATACATTAGATGTTTCTATGTTCTTTGTCATTCTAAAATAATACAAGAAGTGGAAAGGGGCAAGTCTTATTAAATTTCACTTCACCATTTTATACACAGAACTATACCTTTTGGTGCAATTTTTAAAAATTCTTTAGCGCTGTTGTTTCATTGTTGAATGATTATTCATTGAATAGAAACACTATTCAAAGCATATTGGTGAGTAGTTCAGTGAAAACCTAGGTGGAACTGCAAATGTTAGTGGCTCAGGGAAGCACAATCATCAAGTTTGCATGAAATATTTCATACCCAGATACAAATAGCTTTTTCTATATATTTCTTTTTATTTTGTCCCTTATCATCTTCAGTGAAAAAAAATTTGACTGCAATGAAACTTTGGTAACATAATTTTCCTTGTAATTTTATTCTTTATAATTTTGTGTTTCACTGCAACAAATTTATTTGTGTTGTAATATGTTTGTAGCATAAATATGAACAGCACAAAATTGCCATGTTTCATAGTGGCATGTTAATAATTGGTACTTGGAAAGAAATGTTATGTGAGCATGCTAACTTTTTCACACTAACTGTTGAATCTTTAACAAATTGGGTCTGCTTTAGAATTTTAATACATATATGTGTATTTTGGTATTGATGCTGTGTGAGGGATGAATCCCTGTGGGTTTTTTTGTATTTTTTTTATTAAAATTGAAGTTATTGATTAGATGAGAAAAAATACAAATGCATAACTTGACTTTAAATGTTGTACTTTTTGTTGCAGGTTAAAGCTACATTTATTCTGAAAATCCATCAGTCTTGCCTGTTGTTTTGGTGTCATGGTTGCTTACACATAATTAGATAATATCTGACAGAACAACTACTGAATATGGCCCTGATGGAGACCAGTGCCACATGAAAGGCACTTTGTTCTCAACCAGAATCTCACTTGTAATTGAAGACTGAAAGTGGTACATCAGTCACTATGTGCATTGGTTTTTCACTCCTGAAATAAACATGATGAAAACAGAATCTTCAGGAGAAAGAACAACCCTCCGAAGTGCCTCTCCTCACAGGAATGCTTATAGAACTGAGTTCCAGGCATTAAAAAGCACCTTTGACAAACCTAAATCAGATGGAGACCAAAAAACAAAAGAGGAAGGAGAGGCCTCTCAGCAGAGCAGGGGGAGGAAATATGGCTCAAACGTCAACAGGATTAAAAACCTATTTATGCAGATGGGCATGGAGCCCAGTGAGAACACTGGAGTTATCCCTAAAACCAGAGGGAAAGGTGGTCCCCAGTCTCCTCAAAGAAGAATTAGACCCAAAGAATTTGTGGAGAAGACAGATGGTTCAGTTGTAAAACTAGAGTCTTCAGTTTCAGAAAGGATTAGTAGATTTGATACTATGCATGATGGCCCTTCCTATTACAAGTTTACTGAAACTCGAAAGATGTTTGAGCGAAATGTTCATGAAGTGGGACATTCCAATCGCTATTCCCCAAAGAAAGAGAGAGTAGTTTCCAATGAACTCCAAGATGAGTGGTGTAGCTCAAAGTCTAATAGAGGCAGTTCTGATTCATTGGACAGTCTTAGCTCAAGGACAGAGGCTGTCTCTCCAACAGTGAGTCAGCTCAGTGCTGTGTTTGAAAACACTGATTCACATAATGTGGTCATTTTAGAAAAGTCAGAAAACAATGAAGAATACTCTGTAACTGGTCATTACCCACTAAACTTGTCATCTACTGTTGCAAATCTACCCTCTACCGTTTCAAACCTTGATGGATTCAGTCCCTTAAAAGATGCTAATGCCTGGTCCTCACCAGTGAAACAAACTACAAGTTCTGTATCTGCTGAGACCATCCAGCAAAATAATACGTCTTCTACAATAAGAGAAGAAACTTCTAAAAGCACTTTGCCAGTATCAAAAACAAATGAAGAAATAAGGAAGAATAAAGAAGCAAGTTATGAAACTGTTGATGCCTGTGTGACAACTAAGCAAGAATTGGCCAGCATAATTAACAGGGAAAAACCTGAAGAATCCTGTGCCGGGACTAAGGAAAAAATAGATTTAGAAGTTTCTTTACAACAGAAAGAACAGTCAGAAAATGCAGAGGGTGTTTGTGTTGGCACTGGAGCTGCAGAAATATCAAGAACATTGGTAGCGAGTTGTGGTTTTGCAGCAGATGCAGTTTCAGATGCTACTGAATCCCACTATGATGATGCAAGTGGAAAGGAAGTCCAAGAAGACTTGAATGCCTTTCAGAGTTCACATGTATATATGCACTCTGACTATAATGTCTACAGGGTGCGATCAAGGTATAATTCTGACTGGGGAGAGTCAGGAATGGAACAGGATGATCAAGATGACAGTGATGAAAACAACTATTATGAGCCTGATGTGGAATACTCTGAAATTATTGGCTTGCCAGATGAAGATGAAATTCCAGCAAACAGAAAAATTAAATTTAGCAGTGCTCCAATCAAGGTAAATTCCCCACCCCTCAACTGTAATTCTTATTTGAGCTTAATGTTGTTCATGGCAGACTTTTGACAGTCGCATCTGGTTCTGAAAAGATTGCAGAGGTCCTTGAGATGTTGTTGTTGTTGTTGTTGTAGTTTTCAAGTGAGCATAATTTCAAATAATTTAAATGGAGTGGAGTTCTGATGATTTTCTAGTCTATTTTATGGTTGATTAAACAAGCAGAAATTGAGAATAAGTTTTGGTTTGCGAGGCTTTATAATCAAACGGTACCCGTTCAAGTTTATAGGACTCCATAAATTTATAAATAGCATGGGGAAAAATAAAAGGTGTCCTTTTGGTGACCGTCAGATTTAATTATTTTAAAAATTAAAAATAATGAACAGCTGTTTTTACTTTAAAGAACATCTGTGAAGAATTAAAGTGACTGGAGTGAAATACTGTATGGTATGAAATATAATATGCTGTTGAACAGCAATTGTGATTCACTAGTATTGAGTCATTCATCTTATTTATCTGCATCAGTAATATTTAGTTGCTAGCTTCTTCACCAGTCGGTCTTCATGCATAAGTAAAGTAGGTATTAGTATACATGCTTTAGTGACTTATGTGCATTGACATAAATTCTAAAGGTAATTTAAAGGTAAATCCACTGAAATATACTTGATTTAAAAACAGTTTAACACCTAGAAATGTGGACTGCTTTAAGTGT